TATTTTGGAAATGTTGAGTTGAATTAGTCTAGGAATCGATTAATTTTATGGAAGAAAACCTTTCAAACAGCCGTAGTCCGTAAAGTGCATACGTGCCAGGCTGTGATTGGCAAGGACTCGTACAAAATGGATTCATAAAGAACGGAACGTATCTACCATGTTATGGGGGGTCGACTGTATAGCATGTTCTCTGGCATTTTATACTTGGCCCCATATATAGAAAATGGACAGTTGATAAGAATATTATAATTAGTGTTGACTTAATGTTCAAGCTTGATTTATCCAGAAGAGTGCCTGTAAACAAGAATTTGTGCAATACATTTACAAAAGAAAGTTACACACCCACAGAATTATCCAATCACTGCAAAACTCAGCAGCTAGGTTTGTAAATGATTAATGCCACGATTACCTTAAAATTTCCATTTTGGCATTCTAAGCAAAGGTTTCCAAAGAATTACAGAATTTAGAATGTGTCACATACTGTTTGGAGGTCTTCAAATGCGAGGCATACCTGTACAATGCAGTCAAAAACATTACACATAGCTAGTAGAATTTGAAAAAGGTCCCATCATTGGACCGAGGAAAGCAGGATGGCCAAATTGCCTGCCATATGGGCTATTCCGACTCGATTGTGAGCGTGTTTGGGTCAGTGGGTATGCAAGTGCACATATATTTTATTTTATTTTTTTATTTTATTTATTTATTTAATCATACGACCCTATGGCCATTGGCCTTTTTCAAGGGTCAAAAGAAAAATTAATGATACAGACTTTTACCAAGTATACAATCAACAAAACAACAAAAAAGAACAGAAAAGAAAAATACAATAACATCAAAACAAAAAAATACACTCAACTAATCACATATCAATATTTTCACAGCCCGTTTAAATTGTCCGTAAGTACACAATTCTTTATATTCTTCTTTTAAGGCATTCCAACTACATAGATCAATGCGAACTCGTCAGTAGGGGAATGGATAAAACCGCTGAATACAGGTAGTCGTGTGTTCACCTCTCGCCATCAAGCTGGCTACGTGGAGTTTTTCGGGTTTCCTTCTTAAATAGCAGGTCAGTTTTCATGGAAAGTTTTCCCAGAAGGCATTCCTCATTGGTAGATCGATTAAATACTTTATTCCGTTACCTTACCCTATTAAACCAAGCAATCAAAAAAGAAAAGAATGAAAATAGAAGGTGCAAAGTGTACTTTCTATATAATAAGTCTTGCGTAAAATGTAAAATGCTTTGTAAAATGTGTAATGCCTTACGTAAAATAAGGCATTTGTTTATGTTTGGTATCAATTTTTATAGCTAAATCATCGTATTTTCCTGTTTATGATTATCTCGTTTATACAATATTGAAAATTTCCCTGAATTTTTCCAATAAAATAATTATGACTATTCACAACTTGAAACATTAAAAAATCTTTAAATATTGAAAACACATGGTGGTCCAAAAGTCAGTTAACCGTTGTAAACGTAAAATTCTTGTCTTGGTATTAAATATAATTATAACACATACAGATATAGATATAAGACACATACAGACATATACAAAGACAGTACATTATAATTAAAATTATGAAAATATACTTTATTGAAGCGCAGTGAACGAGAATATCTTTGATAAATTGTAACAATTTCGCGTTATGTTATGTTCGTTTGAACATGTCGGGAATACTATGAACTTGTGAATTATATGAGTAAGAAGGGTGGATCTAGAAAAAGATGGCTGCTTGAACAAGATAAATTGTTGAAAAAGCGAAAAAATAATGTGTATAACAAGTGGGTTAAGATGAGAATGGGTAAGAGAAAATCTTCACGAATAAGTAAAATTCTTCCATTGTTTTGAGGCAAACTTTAAGATCGTAAAAATTACCATAATGAGAGTTATTTATATAATTAAAAATATAGAGAATAAACTATTTATAGCATACTGAATTGTTAAATAAATAGAATAAAGTACTANACAGATGAAAGACAAGACCAGATATGGAAATCTTAGAGGCAGGAAGTCCTGATTGATTAATATATACAAACATCCAACACAAACCAGAAGTCACGTTATTTCAATTCAAAAATTTTCCCCTGAAAGCTGTCAGATAGATGACTCTATTGATAAAGGAAAAGTATGATGTACAGGGGCAAGCCACTACTAATTTTGAGATGGCGAGTATATATTTTAAATTAAAAATATTATTAAAAATTGCAGCCGGCATTGTGATGTCACAATAACTAATTGCTCATTTGCATTAAAAACCTCAATTTAGTAAATATTGTTGCTTGTTTACATTGTTTGCTCTTCACTCTCCTCTGCAATTTATGTATGTCACAATGTTGGTAAAGACACGATATATATTCCTCCCATTACTTTGGTTTTAATTTTGGTTTTGGAATGGCTTGGTTGTCTTTTGAACTTCAGCAAACAAAGCAAACGATGCCCGGCAAATGAATCTCCTATAAAACTGTTTAAGCGGAGTTATCCACTACACTGAAGAGAGATTTCAGTTTGATATCATCATCTGATAAATTTCTTGCCTGTACATACTGAAGAGAAAAATCACTGTTAAAACATTGATCATACAATAATTTTGACTGATTGTGTATTAATCCACAGATCCTCTGTACCTGAAAATGGAATCATAAACGATTAGATTAAAAAATGTGGCCATCTGGACATCACAAAGTACTGTAAATATGAAAATACATTTTTCAAAAAGCATTTTATAACTGTTTAAACACTAACTTTTTACAGCTGCATTTTTAATATAGGATACACATTACATTCACAATTAACTTTTTCTTTGTTTTGAAGTCTTAAAAATCAAGTGCACATTAGAATTGAGAAAATACAATATTAAATTGTTTCATTTTTAAAATATTCTATTAATTTGTTGTCCTCCATATATTAAATTTTCTATTAAAAGTGTGAGTTGGAAGTAATACATGAAAGCATGTGTGCATTAATAATAGTGCAAAACTAATACTGTAGAATATTAGTTTTGCACTCTGACACAGACAATTTTCATAAAATGCAATATCAAGGAGAGTATCTTAAGAAACCTTCCAGCTTTCATGATGCTCAGTATATTGCATTTTATACAGTCACATAACCTGTCAGGTACAAAAACAATATCAGAAATTTGGTACTACTTTTAAGACAACATAATCAGCGATGAAAACACGGTGCATTTTTTGTATCTTTAAAGTAATCAAACAGTAAATAAATGAAAAAATTTTTTAAATGCAAGTTCTAAATATAATCTTAACAGGAAAATACATGATATTAGTTGGTGCATGAAAAACTAAACAAAATTGCATTTTCTCATATTAATCTATGACGGGTGGCAAACCAATGGCATACATGCCCAAAGTGGCACTTAAAGAGAAATCATCTGGCAAGTAATGTATTATATTATTTCGATTTATCATGTCTCAATCATCCTTTCAGTCTATCACCTGATCATTCTTTTTTCAATCAACTTTTTTACATTTATTATAAATAAAGCATATTCATTTATTTAAATATCATTATTCAAAGTTTAAAACTTGGTATGCATAAACATCTTTAAAGCTAAGCATGCTTACTATATGGCACATGGGCTCAAAAAGGTTTGTCACCCAATCTACGATAAATCCTGTTTTGGATTTACAAATTTGTTATCTCAAATCGTATTTGTAACTGTTTTCTAAGAGGACAAATTTCATTAACTAACATAAATTTATGTTAATTAATAAGAATGTCTTCTTACAACTATATACAGCTCACTTAAATAGTAATCTTACTTGATTGCATTTACTATTAACCAAATTAAACCTTGTTTATATCATTTAGTCTATAGTAAAACTGGTTTGTTATATGTTGTTTTGCTTACGAATCATTTCCAAAATACCTATCAATGGTGTTAAGTGAGGAATTGCTGTATTTCAGATGTTTAAATTTAATTGATTTCATTATAGATATTAGGTTTTAACTTATTTTCACTAAAGAATTTAAAAAGTGAAATTTTTTTCATTGTCAAGATTAAATCATGAAAATAAACAACACATCAAGGAGTAAATCTCCCATTTTTTTAAAAACTGTTCAAAATTAATGTTAATAGTAATCATAAGCATTAAGCATAACACATTACTCATCAAAAGATGTTTATTTAAAAATTCATACAGATAAATTGATAATTATATATTAGTAAAAATTATTTACTTCTAATTATGCCTGTCAGATAACTTGAGCCTTAAAATGAACTTAAAATGAAAAAAGATTCAAGCATTTATGACTAGACTAGACTAGACACATCAGGAATAATAATTCAAAAAATGAAAAATAAGTTATATTGTATTCTTGCTAATCGGATCTCTCATTATCTGGCATGTGATCATTATGTACTTCCATTTCTATTCATGTCACACATCTAATTTTCTTGATTATTTTCATTTCAGTGAACAGTATTGCATGTCAGCATGACATATTATTTGCCTGTATGCCTCCAAAAAGGAAAGAATTGATACAAAAGGGTGACAGGTCACTTCATTCATTGTTTTTAGGGATGTATACTCTCAGCAATCCAACATCCTCACTAATCTAGCATGCCTCTGTGCAAGGAATGGCTGGATTAGCAGTGTCTAGCATACTTTCTTTCCTAAGTAACTGTCCTAATTTCAAATCATCATCCCTGGCAAGTATCCAGCACACTAAACTTTTTCATAAGCTATGCTACACCATTAATTGAATCTCTCTGGCACATGTAGATTGTGCAGTTCTTTTTTTATGGCTCAATTAATATAACAGAATATACAATTCTGAAATTCTAAGGAAGATGAAATTTGGATACTGCGTATTATGTCTAATTATAGTGTTAATATATTAACACTATAATTTTTATATATTTTGTACATTACTAAGCTATAAAAATAGAAAGATTTTATATATATATATATATATCTTATACTGAACCTCTATGTATAAAGACTATTCTATGGGAGAGAGGAAAAAAAAAAAGAATTGTTTTGCTGAGAAATTTTATTTGAATTTGTATACAAGTATTTTCTATAACAATATGATTTTTAATCTAACAAAAATTATAAATTGTGCATTGTATTTTAGGAAATCATAAGGCCTTTCTATTACTAACTTAGTAACTCTTGTCTTCTACATTAATTACAGGCAAAATGGTTTTTCTGCTGCATAACTATAATCGTACTAAGCGTGGCAAAGTACTACCGCACTGACCTTCAAAATGGAATCTAAAATTGATAAAATTTAAGCTTTTAAATAACATTGTAATTTGTACTATATTAAAATAAAAACTATAAAAAATTACCCAAAATTTTCTGCTCCAGGTGTTGCTTCTATATTAAACTCTGCGACTGGAATACCACGAGCGGCGACTGCCGGTGCAAACATGGCTGCAGGATACACCACGGATGAGGTGCCAATCTACAGAAAAGTTTTTTCTTTTTACTCAAATAGATGTTAATGTGAATACAACATTCATCTATACTTATGGCCGGACAAAATGATTTTATTTCATTTGCACAAATATTTTGTATACAACAACAGTTACAACTGTACAGTAAATGGGGAAACAAACCCAATTCTCTGCAGCTTTTATTCACCAACACTCAAATAAAGAATTTCGTAATTCAAGAAATTTAACTTTAAATTAAGAATTTCTTTTTGTATTTGCCAACTTAACTAGATACTAGATTATAAAATCCTAAGATTGAAGTGTATAAAATTAAAAGAAATATGAAGTCTTTTCAGTATTATCTGTTTTCAAAAATTGAATGTTTGGGAAATGAACATCCTCACACTTTACATTTAATTATTAATTATTAAATTTATAACATTTTTGAAGAATATGTATTTATTTTAGATTTGTAAAAAATAGCTAAAATTAAGTATCTCTCAAATCACAGCTTTCGATATTTCTCTCTGCTATTGTTTGCATCAATATAGCATAGCATATATATATATATTGATTGATGAAAGATTTAAATATCATTGGTTAACATTATAACTTTCTGCTAGTGATGCAAAGTTCAAAATAATATCACAAAATGTAATTTAAAATTAGAGATATGTTCAACAGCTTCATACTAAAGTTTTGGGGGTCCTGACCCACCTACCCTCACTAGGCTTTCTGGTTTATTCAGTTATGGCAACATGACACATGGGCAATCTGCCAAGGGGAATGCCTGCCACAAGGACTTTTGCTTTTATGGGAAACTGGCCCATTTAGGTGTTATAAACATGAAGAGAACCTGGAAAACTCCACTTGGGCAGCCCAATGGCAAGGCACAAACCCACAACCAACTACTAATGTTCAGCGGGTTTATCCACTCAGCCACTGCTGGTCCTCCCACTAGGCAAACATGCCCATGGTTGTAACACAAATTAAGTAAATAATTATTATTTTTAGAAATTTAAAAATTAAAAGCATATAAAATGAGGACAATGAAAGCAATTTTTAAAACCATGGGGGAAAAAAAACAAATAAATGCAGTTGTTTTATAACAAATTGAAACAATGCACACATAATCTGTAATTATTGAATTACAGTTTAATCAGAGCATTAAATCACTATTTATATTTAAGAATTAAATTTAAAATCAATACAGATGAATACTGATTTTTAATAGAACTTGCAATATTGTCTTACTCTAGATTTAAATGAAGATGGCAAATATGGCCGTTACAGCTGAAATTTATCACTATGAAAAATTAATTTGAACGTGTAAGGTCAATTCACTGTAATACCAAAGAAGTTACACACCACAATGAGACTAAAGAATGAAGAAATCAGTTGATAGAAAAGATCACAGTTTTTATTAATGTAGAAGAAAAAATTTATTCTATCATATACAAATCATAACCAAGTGTTCCTTTGTGGAAATTAGAAATGATAAATTGTGATTCAACACATCTGTAAATAAAAAGGTAGAGAAAGAGGAGAGAAGTTGATAACCAAGACTTAGGAAAAAGAAAATTCTGGGACTTAGTCTAAGCAAAGCAAGCAGAGACCATCAAGGGACTTGATCCATGGTGAGAGCACTTTTCCTGACATCTACTTACTGCCCATCTAACCTCTTTCAAATGAAAAACTGAATATCTGAGATTCCAATCACTTGAGATTTATATTATGGGTTGAAAGATTTGAGACAGATATTCTCTCAAATCTCTCTCAAGCTATAATACAAATTTGAATTGTAAAATCAGTACAAATCGTTGAGTTTTAGTAGAAAGGAAATCTGGTCTCCTATCTCCTCCCTTCTGGAATGGTCATGCATTTGCTTTCTGAAAAGCAAAACACCCATATACATGGCCTGAGTTTGCCACTTCTTCATAAAACTGGAGTCCTTCCAACAAAAAATGGACTATTTTATCTCAATATAGGAACCCACAAATGTAATGTTGTAAAGACCTTCACAATTTTTCATATGTAATATAGCTTGGGTATCACACCCTCATCTTCATCTATGCTAATATCTATTCAGGTCAGAGCTAATTAATTGAGCCTGCCAAATGACTTAGTGTGTTATATTTTACGTTAACCAGTCAAGAAGTATGAACTAAAGTGGATTACAATATTCAAAAAATATAAAAATATACTCACCACAAGGCACAAATCACAATTATCTAATTCTTGCTGTGCACTCTGTAGGATGTCAGGATCTAACGATTCTCCAAACCAGACTACATGAGGGCGCAGCAATCCGGAACATTTCGTACATCTAGGTTAAATTCTAAAATAACTACACCTATCTAAAATTAATTTGCTTCAAAATTAAATTTAAGCTAACCTTGGAAGTTCATTTTCTGGAATTCTTGCATCTTCAACATTCGGATCTGGTGATCTAGTAATAAATTATCAAAATTATTTAAAAATTAAGAAATTCAAAGAAATGAATCTATTACTTCAAATTTATTCTTGCCAAACAATTTAGATCAATGATACGCACCCTTTACCGGACAAAGCTGGACAAATCGGACTGTCTCTGTTTTCTTTCAGATGTCCGCATTTTATGCATCGTGTCTTGAACAGAGTTCCTTCCAATAAAATGACAAAAGTTTGGTCTATATTTCTATATAGTCGATGTTCCTATAAAAAGTCCAAAACTACTACTTTTGTTTGAAATTAGTTATTTCTTCCCATACGATCTACTTACTCACCTTAATAATATATCTTTAAATTTCTAAAATATTTGTCATAGTTTGAAATCAAGCCCCCTTATGATATTCAAATTACAATTTAAAACTATGAATAACAAAGATTTATTATTTTCTAAGAGTTTATAATTAAATAAGAATCCTTCTCAAAGTAATGAACAAAGGTTACAAAAACTAGGCATTTTCTTCTTTATTTTCCAGGAAAATAAATGCACTAATTTCAATAGGTAAATTTTATTATATATATCAATAAATTTACATACCTATTTCTATTTAACAGCATATCTGACGACATGACTTGAAAATTAGAAAGTATTTTAGCAATTAAATTATGAATGCATGCGTGTATGAGTAAAAGTTTATACAGTGGTGCCTCGTATAACGTACTTAATCCATTCCAGGTGCATGTCCTTTAAGTGAAGAGTCCGTTATACGAAATGCATTTTCCCATAGAAATACATGTTAAAACATATAATTCGTTCCGCAGCATAAAATAACCGTACTGTACCATGAAAAAAATGAAAATGGAGCAGTCACCAATTATGCCAGGTAGTCAGATGTTGTGAGGAGGTGGAGGAACACTTACTTCACACATTCATACAGATACAGACTTTTTACACATTGCAGCAGGTCTCTTTTTATTATTTTTTAATCAGAGTCAGAATCAGGAGAGGCTACCGGAGTTTGCAGGGTCATCTCCTCTTGTTCCATCCTTTGTTTTTTGAAAGCTTGCTTCTTGAAAAACATGGTCAAGGTGGTCTGTTTCTCTCGGAAATGATGGGCAAGGGTGTCATTGTAGAGATCATTGATCCTGTTGGCCTCAGCTATGTTTGGATAGTGAGTGTTGGTAAACTCCTGAACCCCTCCCCATTTGACAAGGAAGTTTTTGACAACTTTCACTCCTCCTGATGATTTCTTGCTTTGTTTCAATTGAAATCACCTTTCTGTTTTTTTAGAAGCCATGATTTGCACAACACTTGAATAAATGTAAATACCCTGCACTGAGGTGATGTACTATACGTAATAAACAAGGGAGCAATCTGAATCCCAACGGGAGCTCTGTACTTCAGATATACTAATAATATATTCTAATAATACTAATATATATATATGCACATGTATGTCCCTATATTTCACTTTTCCGCCAAAACTACACATTGCACGTGAATGGTGTTTGTACGTGGTAGTAGCCCCAAGTCTCCATTCGTGCACCAGGGGGGTTGCGTCTCGATAGCTATAAGGGTGCGGGAGATATGGGGCTGAAAGTGGTTGAAAGTGGCTTTCTATTTTGAATGTTTTGTTTGAATTTAATTCGAACAATGTTCGAATTTGTTCGAACAAATTCAAACAATATTCAAATTAAATTCGAACATAAAATTCGAATATTGGTTTGATTATAGAACGATTGTAAACATTCCAGAAATGTTGAAAATAGTTCGTTTGACTTGACGTGAACAGGAGATGTTCAGAAATAGAATCGGGACCAGGTCTCTAATTAGTCTGGAAACGGGGGACCTAATTCTTGCATTCTGTGAAAACGAGTAAGATTGGCTATAATGTAATTATCTTAATCTTCACTATCGTTACTTTTTGCCCACAAATAAAAACCCAGCGAAGTGGATCCTTGCAGCTAGTATATTATAAAAATAGTAGATTGTCATTGGCAACGGCAAAAGTGTGGAAACATCATTCGCACTTGTTTGCAGAAAGGCTGTTGTTCGCCTCACGTAACTGCTGAACGAAAAGTCCGTTGTTCGCAGCCAGTCCGTTGCTCGAGTCACGTAACGGCCTAACAGAAAGTCCGTTATTCGCAGCATCCATTATTCGAGGCGTACGTTATACGAGGCACCACTGTATATAAATTAAACATTTCTTTCCCTTTATCCTTAATAAAATTGCTCATATTAAAATGCTTTATTAGAAATATTTAGTACATACAAAATATAAATACATTAAGTTTTTAAAATGTGTGATTAAGAGGGCTTTTACTCATGTCCACAATAGAATAACTAGATATTAAGATTCAGGCCCCATATCATCACATAACCTATCAAAATTTCTTTCATTCCAATCTGTACTTGACCCTGGATCTCCAGAATGGCACCTTTTCCATCTTAGCTATGTGATTACTATGCCAAAACATTTTCTAGAAATACCATAATTTCTTGCAACAGTAATAATTAGACCAAAACCTTTGTTAAATTACTTGTTAAAGGATCCTCAAAGAGCATAAGTTCTTCAATTTTCATCAAAGATTCACATATAATGATTAGATTGAATTACCATGTAATTCCAACAAATTTTTTGTGCCGGCAGCTTTATGTAATTCGTCAATGTTTTGTGTTATTACCACTAGACGATGTCCTTTTTCCTCCATGTGTTTTTCAGCTTCGGCAAGAGCAATGTGGGCCTGATTAAAATTGCATAAGAATTTTTCAATATTTTATTAATACCAATTAGTTCATTTCAAACAGAGTTAACATTTAAGTATTACCGGATTTGGTCTTTTACCCAAAACTAAATCTCTTCTGTAGCTATAAAATTCCCATACTAAAGACGGATTGGAAAAAAATGCAGTTGGAGTAGCTAAATCCTAAAAGTTAATTTGGTTAAAATATTTTAATTAAAGAAAAATACATTAAAAAATAAACATTTCAGTATCATTTAAAAGCTTATCAATGTGTGCATACCTGAGAATTATATTTCCTCCACAAACCACTGGAACCACGAAAAGTTGGCAAACCACTTTCTGCACTAATTCCTGCTCCAGTTAGAGCAACTACATGTTTAGCCTTCTTAAATATTTCCCTGAAGCTAGCTGAATCAGAACTGGCTCGTTTACATATGTGCTCGATTAAGGAAACTTTGCCTACAAACAGACGAATAGATGGAGAGAGAGACATTTTTGTATCTGAAAATGGAAGGAAAATAAATTGGTTATTTTTTTCCACAAAATTCAAAAAGCAGTGTTTAATCATAAATTTTACATTATGAAAATTTTCAGTTTATGCTTATTTCATTAAAAAAAAATTTTTTTTAGTAGAGTAAATTCAATATGTTATCTTTAAACATGGAAGTCTTTGTAATATAGTACAGAAATTACCAATTACTGATCCATAAAACAAATAAATTTGTGTGTTATTTGAATCTGAAGAAATCTTACAGGTCTGAAAGTGAAAAAAGGTTTAAAACCATTTCACTTAAAAAAAATATTCTTCTATATTTATTTTATAAATTCTAGTAGTAAAGAGAATGAAGGTTTTATGGGTGGAAGCTCCTCTAATCAGGTTTAAACATAACATCAAAATCATATTAGGTATTGTACATTGATGATTTACTAATTACAGTGGTACCTCAGGTTACAAACGCCCCACCATACGAAATTTTCAGGATACGACATGAAATTCGAGCATATTTTTGCTCCACGATACGAACAAAAACTCACCATACGACGTTACATTAGTTCGCATTTTTCATTTGTTTTTCTTACTACAGTTATTTTTTTTAATGTATTACTTGGCTTTAATTTGAGTATGTTTTTCGCGTTGGAACGAATTATTTGGTTTTACATGTAATCGTATGGGAAAAGATGATCCACCTTACGACATTTTCATGATACGATCTCAGTTTCGGAACGGATTAATTTCGTATCCTGAGGTANGTGGTACAAACCTTGCCATCATGCTAGTCAATTCCTCAGTAATCATGGCAGATTCAACTCATACCTTACAAGGTTCACTAACACATCCAATCCTAACTGCTCCCTGTGCGGTGTTGAGAACGGCAGTCAACACTTCTTCTTCAACTGCCTGATGTTAGAACCAGAGCGGCTTCACCTTAAGCTCACTATTGAGGCACATGGTGGAATATGGCCCACTGACTGTACGAGAATCTTTGACTATGAGGACACTTATGATGCCTTCTTAACACTCATCACTAAATACTTTCTACGAACCACGGTCAATGCCTACTCCTAGCCTCCTCTGCCAAAATCACCTTGTCTTCTCTGGCCTCACCTTGTCCTATTCACGCCGTTCTGTGCTTGTTGCTTTGGATGACAATCATCTCATCGACGTAATCATCCTGTGTATCTTCAAATTTATGTCAATGTACCATATTACTAAGACGTAATTTGTATTGGACTGTAAACTTGTTTGTCATTGCATGTATATATTGTAAATAAGTACTTGTAACTAATACTTTTTGTATTAATTGATTATTTTTTACTGAATTAATTGTACCTGATATTTAATTTAATTTTATTTCTTTATATTATTATATCCTACTAACTATTGTACATAATCATCAATTGTATATATCTGTAACAAATTCCTTGTTGATCCACTAATAACTGTAACAAATACTATATATCTAGCATGTCACTATTTTCACTGTATCAAACTGGGTTATACCTATGTGGCACCCAATATATGCTGTACCTAGTGTGTTGAATAACATATATCTGTATCTGTCTAGGGTCCATTCGTATTGTTTGTTCAATAAGCCAGTAAAAACTGCGGACTTCTCTAAATGTATTTTTAATATCACAATTACATTCCAAATTGTTAGCCACGATATAAGGGCTACAATTAAAAATGAAATTATAAAAACTTACTTGGTGAAATAAAATGTGTGGTGGATGTACTGGTACAGTACTGTACATACCTGGTACAAAATAATCTTCAATTGTATGAATATACTTTTAAAGAAAATTATAATTAAATATAGCTTTGTAAACAAACGTACATAAAAATAACATTAAATATTCTTTACTTTTTAAATCTTAAAACAATCCACTTAGTTAAAATTGCTCCCTACCAGTGGCTCATGGATGGAATCAGACGATCTTGGTAGGTGTGAAATGTGTGCATGCATGCAAAATCCCAAGGGTGCCGATACTGGTCAATGTCAAATACCTCTTTTGTCACACCACTAGTATATCTCAAAGGATGTGACAGGGTTGTTGTAGATCTTAAACGTTTCTCACCATAGCTGTAAAAATCTAAATATGTTAAACTTAATAGTCATTTGTTTTCCAACTAGTTTGTTTTAGGACCAGGTGTCCACGGAAATTTCCAAAATTTACATCTTTTCAGTCACTCTCATTGAACTTGACAAATTTCTGTCTTTATTACATCTAATATTACAAAGAAATCATTCCCCACTGTACTCGGCTAGAGATTGGTTCAGTTAAGCTTTTCTTTAAGTAAAATTCTGGCTCTTTCATCAGGGTTTTATTTATGTCCCTAATTTCCTAATCTCTTAATTATTTAACTACTTCTTAAGTAGAAATAAGTTGAAAATGGTTACTTTGTACTCGAATATTTGTAGTCTCGCGAAAAAAGTGGAAAGAAATTTTTATGACAACTGATACATAAATCGTAAATTTAAGAAAAATAAATTCTAGGACTGTTTTTTGTACCTTGTGCATCTCATTCATTAAATTTAGTTGTAAATGATGCTGCCAAAGTAACAGTTCATTTTTTTTAGCATTGTACAAGAATTGTACACATTTTTTTTCTGCATCCCCATATAGATAGGACATATGAAATCGTAATATCACTGGTTTAACATTGAAATCCATAAGTAATACAAGATGGGAGAGCAGAATAAAAGCAGAATAAATAAAAAAAATCCGTTAAAATATTTGATAATATTTATCAACTATACAGAACTATCATGAAAACATACCAGTAAATTTCTATCAGTTGGGTTAAGTTATAAATCTACTCATGATTCACATAATTGGGCAAGGGCGGCCAAATATCTAGCAGGCAGGCGGCTAACAGCCCAGAACCGGTCCGGGATAGAATCATTGGAAGCGTTATATGTGTGTAGCTTCTACCAGCTAAACTGCCTGTGGTTGGTGCTCTGTAAAGCACATGCACAAATGCATATAATCTGGCTGTTTGGAAGCTGACCCAGTTTCGACAATACAGCGCTTCCATTCCACCATTGATATTTGAATATACAATAGCAATCTTATCGTTTTTTTTTTTTTCACATTTGGTATAGAAATTTGTAATAAGATACATAATGTGGTAATAATAAAATATTAATTTTAATTAATCCAAAATATGTTAAAATATGAAAATAATCGTGCAATATGTATTTATTTTTTAGAAAATACAAGGGAAACGGCACTTCCACCACTTCCAATGATGGCATGCCACTAGAGCAGTGTTCCACAACCTTTTTTTACTTGCAGCACATCCATGACTCACCCACGGCATACCAAAATGTTATTCCCCTCAAAAACGTATATTCTACTATTAATAGAATTACGTAATGCCACTAACCTATTATTATTGTTATTAAACAGACATCAACACCTACCTGTGAGCAAATTAATTTTACATATAATTTCTTAGAATACATAAAAATGCGTGGCTTGTAAAAATAAACAAACATCATCTTATTTCATCAGTGCTGCAGCAGAAAATGAAATACAAGCATAAGAAACACAACAACTGTGATAAAAATATATAAATAAAACTTGAAATTAACAGAATATGTAAAAGTTCACGTCACACCTTTCACCATGTGACGGCACACCGGTTGCGGAACACTGCACTAGAGAATAGAAACTTTTTGGGAGAGTTCAACATAGAGTGAAGAGAAGACTAGTTAATGTAATAATATGATAGAATAATATAATAGAGTGTCATATTACGCTTTACTCTGAATACTTAAATTTCATCTATACACATAAGTACTGTACATACACAAACACACGTTCAAAAAAATAAGCAAAATTTAGCCTCTGCAGAGAGCTGCCTACAATTCTTCTGTTATGACATGCTGTTAATGTTAAATAGCAGCCCTATTGAGGTGGTGGTTACTCTGACATCCACTTCTTGATGGAAAGTCCAACATCTGTGCTTTGAAATCTGGCCTAAGGTGTGTATATGTCATGCTGCAGGACATCAGAGTCCTGGGCTTCTAGCCTTCTAAAAATTCTTATTTTCATTTAATTGTCTGTGACATCTGTGGCATTATCATAGTATCATACAGAAAAACAGTAACAAACTGGCCTCAATGGTTAAACTACAATATAAACAATGCCATGCTACTGCTGTATTTACGAAGCCTGTATATTTTGTAAAACTTGTAATCTAAATGTTCTATTAAAAAGTATATTCAGAACATTTTTATTCTCTGAAACAGTTCACAAATTTTCTGCTGTTTATTTTGTTTATTTTTTGCTTCCATCTATGGATTGGATAGTTAAGTACTTGTATCCAAAAGATAAGCATATTTTTAAACTTAATTATATACAAGTTCAAAATTATTGATTATTGGAATTTATATAAGTTCCAACTATCCAATGTATAATAAATGAATATGATCAAAACATTAAACAACACAATGTTTGGTAAATTATTAAATTAACCAAATTTGGATGGACCTGATGTATATGATATACAATATAATCCTCAAGTATTACCAGCATGTTAGCAAATCATATACAAGCTTCATACTAGTTAGAGTTCCCATTCCTCTAAATCAAACATCTTCCTACTAAAATGTAGCAAGATATCAAGCCTGAACTTGGGGGCAATATTAAAGTGTCAGGATGCCATCTTAGGCTGTTGAAAAAAGACAGTATCTTATAACATAATACTGTATAAATATAAAATCAATCCTCAAAATTTTCCACCAAAAATACCATATCTTCCACTAAATTTCTCATGGTCACTTCAATTTTTCACTAAATTTTGTGGAATCCACCAACTTGACAACATTTATTACTGATGCTCTGATGTTTTGATCAGTAGTCTGACTTGTGTTTGCTGTCATAAACATTCACTCCAAACTGTCAGTCATTTATTATGTGCCATTGAATTAACCTTACAACAATCTGGTAATCTCCTTAATCCAATATTGTTTCAATCCCATATATGGATTGAA